TTCTATGAAAGTCAATGGGTGCTAGCTGGATTTTTGTAAATATCTTTCTTTGTGTTCAAACAGAAGAAATGAACTCAAATAGGGTTTTGAACAGCTAAAGGATGAGTCAATTGTGGGGTTAACAATCCCTTTAATGTTTTAAACAACTACAAACAATCAAATTATTCGAAACAATACTTCAACACACCATGGAAATAAATCAACGAAAGAGCAGCATCTATTCCGGACTCCACATGGTTTCATAATAAGGTTTTGAAAGTGTGTGATGACTTTATAAAGAGCATTTAGTTCATGCAGTGAATTCAAATCTTACATCATTTGTAAGGTTAATCATGTTAAGGATATGAATGTGCAGAGTGTGAAAAGTTTTTATTGGTTTTATTGACCTACTTATTAACCTTTATAATGATCCAGATGTCATGCTGTTCATGCAAACGTTTCTATTCATGACAGAAGAGACAGCTGAGCAACAGGTCACAGCAGGACAGAAAACAGGAGGAGGAATAGAGAGAAAAGCGCCACTTTGCAAACACATACGGCCATAAAATGGACACTGCATGACCTTTCCACTCCAACAAGCGAACAATAGCTTTGTTTGAGGCATCAGGAGAAGGCACAATAATTGCAGTGTTGTCCTTGACTTGACCTTGTGCATTAGAGAAGAAGAACAAGAATGCATTTCAGTGGGAGAGGAAATCACACACTAAAGGAGCTGTTTATATCGAGATCACATTACACATTTTCATGCTGACATCTTTGTGAAAAACACAAAAGCTGAAGAAAAGGGGAAGGACTGATGAAATGCACTTGGAAGATTATTTTGAAATTTACCCAATGACCAAGCAATGTCTACAGGTTATTCAAAAATGGATTCGCAAGTCATGAATGAAAGTTGATAATACTAACAATAATAAACAGCAAGAGAGTAAAGTGAAGGTAAGTCAAAGTTTTTTGTTTTGTGTTGGCTTTCTGTATTCACCTGCAAACATTCTGTGCAATTATTATTATGCTACAAGCAATATATGTCTGTTCAAATTCATATTTGTTATTTATTTATTTGAGCATTCTTGATTTGATCATTTAAAGTTGGAAATGACACCACTTGCAAGTTTTTTTTCATTATTTATTTAAGTAAAACAATCTTTTAATTCTTGGCAACTATTGATGGGAATTCCTTTAAAATGTAAAATAAAAATGTTTTCAGGATTCTTTAAATTATTAGACACACATTATCATAGTCTCAAGTCCTAGAAATAACTGACCTATTTTAAATCTTATATTTTTAAGTAAAAAAAATAAAAGAAAACATAACAAAAACTATGAAAATAGTATTTGATCAATTTTCAATTTCACGTTTTAATCTGTCTTTAGGAGAAATACAAACAGTAGAGACTGCTTTTCTGTTGACTGCTATTTCTAGCAATTCATTGCAAATGTTAACCTTGCAATGAAAAAAAGTTTTTTACCAAAATAGGGAAACTCTTTCTAGTTTTTTTTTTGTGTGTGTAAAAAAAAAATGTCTCTGTCAATGTTTTCATATGATAAAATTTGATTTACCAAAGTCACATCTGTCACATCAATAACCAAGAGATGTCATATCCACAATGAAGCTTTTTCCTCATAAATTCAAAAATCTTACATTAAATAAAATCAATCATTTTTGTTCTATAGTGTGTCAACTTTTATCATTTTAATAAGCATTATTTATTTTGGGTTGTGCAGTTTAAACTTTCTACAAAGTAAATGTTATACTGTAAACCTTTTTAGGTCACATCCATAAAGCATTTTTATTTCCCTCATTTAGGATATAATTCACACTTAGCTGATGACTGGTTATAAGCTTGTTTGGCATGCATGTCAATAAAAAAAATTTGTAAATAAATGCAGCCACTAAATAATGTGAATTGATTGGCGCCATCAACATTGCTAATTCACTGCCCCTCTCTGTTTTAAGCATGTGCTAAATAGATGTTTGACCATTATTCTATTCTGCTGCACCTCAAATAAATAAATGCATTTTGAAGTCAGCTTTTCAGAATCTAGTTTATTTAGCACCATTTTGTTTTGCTGGTTGCCTTACAAGGGTCAAAAATCTCAATGATTTTGTGGATGTATTTTGCAAAAAGATACATCAATATAAGAAGCTGAATTAATAACATTGTGGCTCTAAAAGGAATATGGATAAACTATGTTATTAGGGTCTGTAGAGTGTGTATGTAATGCCTTTTGTTCAGTTTATTCCTTTGTCTGTGTTTTTAAAATAAACTTGGATTTGTGTTTAGTTTGCATGTGTACTTGCTGATTTTATTACATGAAATAAATTGCAATATTTTAAGAGTAATTAATTAAATGAATTAAAAGCACAATATTTCATTTACCAGAAACAAAAATATAACTTTGCACTGAGTTCATTATTTATTTATTTTTTTTGTGTGGTCTCATCAGGCCACCCCTAAAAAAACAATTTCTGAGGACACCACTGATTTATGGCTAATGAAGAATTGCTATATGAGGGAAAAATACTGTTGGCTAAGAACTTGACTATGGTGCCAATTTTGTTAAGTCAATTGCATGTCGTTGGTCGGTGGGAGGAATCTGGAGAACCCGGAAGAAACTCATGCAAACACAAGGAGAACATTTAAATTCTGCACAGAAATGTTGACTGCCTAGTAAGGATTGGAACCAGTGACGTTCTTGCTGTAAGGCAACAGTGCAAACCGCTGGGCCACCCAATCTAGAAAGGAAGGGGAGGTGTGGGGAGAAAAGGGAATTCTTCAAGATGAAGATGACAGTGCTATAAGAAGACTATGGTTATTTATAGTGTCTTAAGAAACATCTGATTAGAGAATTATGTGATAGGTAATGCGGCATCAGCCGTGGTCAATCATAAGCACGTGATCCTCTCGAATCTAGGTTATAAATAAACTTCACATTTGAAATATATTACAAGTTCATTTGAAGTAAACAAATGCTTACAGATTTATATTTTTTAACCCTAAAATTCAGTGGACAGTTGTTTTGGAAATTATATACAGATGTTTCAATGTAATGTTAACATTTTTTCTTTGTGTGTTTATGTTTTTTTTTCTGCAAACATCACATTCATAATGCTGGGATTTCTCAAATGACTAATATAAACCTTGACAGAAATTGGCCTTCAGTTTTGCCTGAGTGCAGCATTGGATACAATAGATCACCAGACACTTATAGATATTAAGTGATTATGACTGGTCTATCTGAAACTGTTGTAAATTAATGTTATCTTACTTAAGTGGAAGCACATTTGTAGTATCTATCAATAATACTTTGTCTGAACCATATAAGTTATCATGTGGTGTTCCACAGGGGTCAGTCTAAGGACCACCGCTTTTTTAATCTTTATTTGTTATCATTCAGTCACAGAAGCATAGTATTACTTTTCCTTGCTAGGCTGATGACAGAGCTCTACATACTGTAGCCGTATATCCTGATGATCCAGCTCAACTCGATTTACCCTTAAATTGCATTCAAGGCATCCTGCATTTTTTAAATATACCCCTAAGCAAACCAAATATACTAGGATTGAATCCAAGCCAAGTGGCAAAAAAGAAAAAATTCAAAATAGGAGTAGACTTTGATTCAGATTTTAACTTTAAAGCTCAAATGTGATTTAATCACAATTGCATTTATTAATCTGAAGAACACTAAAGAAAGACCCTTACTCTCTCTAAGCAATTCCAAACAATAAATGCAAGCATTTATAACTATCAGGCATGATAATTGTAATTACCCTCTCACAGGTCTCTCAAACAATACAATTATTCAACTACAACTAAAACAAAATACAGCTCCTAGAATATTGACTAAATCTAAAAAGGAAGATCACATTTTACCTGCATTAATGTCGTTGTACTGGTTACCTTTGAGATTTTGATTTAAAAATTAGATTACAAGGCACTGCTTTGACTTGCTGCAGACTTTCTTTCATAAATGCTTGAAGTTTACGAACCCAGAAGGACTCTTGGATCTGCAAGTTCTGTTCTTTGAACTATACATTAGAGTAGAACTAAAGAAATTTAGTGATGCTGCCTTTAGTCGTCATGAAACAACCTTGATGACCTGAAAGCATTAACATTTCTGAGTCCAAATGAAAAACATGTTTTCAGTCTAGCTTTCATGTAAAATCTTATAAAATTGATGCTTTATTTGTACACAAGTCAGATGTATTATCAAATGTTGTATAATCATGTTTTTTTTTATATTTTAAATGTATTAGTTATTTCTTTCTTGTAAAGCACTTTGAACTGCATTAACCTATTTGGAAGGGTGCTTGCTTTGCTTAACATCAGAAGAGTTAAGAAAACAATATTTGGTGGAAACATCATTTTTAATTGGTCTTTATTTTCCCCATTGCTGTCTTTACTATATTGACAGATGCATAGCCATTTCATGTACAGTATACAAACGAAGTCACTTATATACCTTTGCTATTATACAATTAGTTTCTCTGTATGTGCTATGAGGCTGTTTTGAACCTCTTTTAACGGTAATTTGAGTTTCAGTGTTCACATCAGAATCAGCCTGTGCTCGAGTTGTTTTTAGAAAACAGTCGTGCAACATAACAGAACTGCCTGTACTTATCCACTTGATAGTAAAAAGAGCAGCTGTTTAAATGGTTAATTAATGGATAATTATTTTAAATGACAGTAGCTTGGGTGTTTAGGACCAAACATGGAAAGTTAGCAAAGTTTAGATATTTCCTCAAAGATACTTCCTCAAATATAACAAACACACAGACACATCTACCACTAAGCAGGAATCAATGCGTCAGAGCCTGCCTGCATTTCTCTGTCACATTCTCTTTTCTCAGAGGCGTGTCTTAACAGGTCAACAAATCTTTTATACCTCTGTGTCATTTCCTGAAAGTCCATGTCTAGAGGTTAGACAGCTCTGTAAGGTGTGGTCTATGGCCTAAACTAGACTCACGTCAACTATAAAACTTCACCTGACCAAAATCTCCTGTTTCAGTTGTTCTGAACGCTGACAATGGCCCAAAGACATCTGATGTTGTGGATCTTCACTCTGTGTGTTTCACTGGATCCCTCAGGTAAGACACTGGATACACCAGTGACTCTACTTTACAATGACTGATTAACTTATCTGTGCTCAGCCAAGGGCTCTTCAACAATAACACTGCACTGCAACGACTGCAAGACTTAGATTACTGTATGTTGTGTTGAAGAGCATGTATGTTACAATTAGAAAGATAAAGTGTCAGATTTTAGATTTATAGAGCTTACTGTACATTGCTGAGGTATGTGAGGATTTTATTTGTACACATTCTAGACTTCACTGAATGTAAATAGTGCAAATTATTCATAATATATCTAATATCCCAGGTGTGCTTAAATGTCAAAGACTTTTTTAAATATATATTCATGTTTAAAACTAAATTATTGCATATTTTCAGATGTTTCCAAAGATATATGAAATAAAATTAGTATGTCAATTCTGGTAAGCATGTAAATTGCAGCGTTTCTGTGTTGCATAGAAGTATAATGAAATACAATTGAACAATGTTGAAGTAATAATGCTAACAGTGTAAAGGTCTGGTCAATATACACACACCAAAGTCCCAAAATTAGTAAGTAATATAGTATTAACAATCTTTATCAAGTAACTATAATATAAAGTTTAAATTATTCATTGTTATTTAATCTGCCAACACTTAGAATAGGAGTGTGTTTTGTTACCTCAGGCGCAATAGCAAAAACACCTTCTTGATTAATGCAATTTCCTTGTGTCAGGAGTGAAAAAGTTTTGTGTTATTGCTGATGCTTATGCTACACCCTTACTCTAAATTGAAAGGCCTATACTTAACTATTATTTGAAGAGTGTATTGTATGTTTTGCTAAACTGGTAAAAAGATATTTTAAAAAACTACCATGTAAATATCTCTTTAATACTGATTGTTGTTACTGTTTAAACAGTTACACCTTAATAAACATTAACCACAAATGTTGTTAGGGGCAGACTGTAAAAATCACAGTAAAGCAAACATGCTTTAACAAAACAAGGATATCAATCTTGGCCAGAAAGTGTGTAAAACAGACGTTGTCTATTGGTTTTTCTACCTTAAAATAACAGAAATCTGGCATTGCTGTAGATACGTTTGTTGGCAGTTATCACTAAAATCAGCCATTCAAGTTTACACTTGTCCTTTCAATACAATATTTAGATCAGGTGAAACAGTTCTGAAATCTGAAAGCTGCATTCACAGCCTCTATATTAAACTCAAAATACTGTATGTCTTTATTTAATGAGGAATCTGTGATTCCTTGTGTGTTTGTCAATCTGCTACAGTTGGTCACATTCACGAACTACATGGCAAGGTTTATGAGATTGTACGACCAATCAGATTACATGATCTGCAAAAAAGAGACTTACAGGTGATTTCTTTTATACTCCCTAATACTACATACAGAATTATTAAACCCCTTTGATTTTTTTTCCTCTTTTAAATATTTCCCAAATGATGTTTCACAGAGCAATTATATTTTCACAGTATGTCTGATAATATTTTTTCTTATGGAGAAAGTTTTTTGTTTTATTTCAGCTAGAATAAACACATTTTTTAAAATTTTTATTTCAAATAAAAGTTAAAAAAGTTTTTTTTTGATAATTCTGACTTCAACTGTATATTTGAAACCTTTTATTCAAACTAATTAATTTCTTTCCTTTGCAGTCAAGACCGGATAGAGTGAAATATGCTATGACACTGGGTGGTAGAGACATTGAAATGCATCTCCAGAAAAACATGTACGTTCGTCTTCTCAGTTTCTCCCTTGTCATCATATCTGTATATCTTGTGATATTTAATATCTGCACATGTTGCAACTCCAAAAAAAAAAACTTCCTCATTATTGCAGACGTATTTGTATCACATTACAACTGCAACACAGATTTACACACTGATTTGATCATAAACCTTTTTGCAATGGATCTGAGAAATGTGTGTTGGTCTACAGTGGCATGCTGACTAAAGACTACAGCGAGACCTACTACACTGACGATGGCATGCTTGTCACAACTACACCGGCAGATTTGGTATGTTATATCCAGTATACAGTTACGAGTAAGATGAAATACTGTAAAAAATATATATAGCAATGTTATAAATCATTATTCTAATATAATGCACATTCCACAGTGTACAAAATTTACGCAATTCTTTCAATTTCTCCACAGGATTTATGCTACTATCATGGGAAAATATTAAATGACAGTGCCTCTTTGGTTAGCATGAGCACCTGTGATGGACTGCGGTAAGAAATTGCATTGGTGTATGCAATTGTTTGTGTGTGTGTGTGTGTGTGTGTGCGTGTGTGAAATATGATAATTCTTTACATTTTGAAGCCAATACGTAGAAATCTTGAGTCTGATTGCTAAAAAAAACATGAAATCTATGTATACCATACAATTTTTGTTGTTTTAAGATTTATTTGAGCATTTTTGCCATTATTATAATCGGACAGTAGATACTGACAAGAAATTAAGTTGTAGAAAGAGACAAGGGGTGGGATCAGGAAAGGCCAGAGAGTAGTGATTTGAACTATGCCAGCAAACTGATCAATAGACTTATAAGCAGCATCAATTTATTTATTTTTGTTTTTTACTTTAACCTCATAAAAAAAGCACAAATCTAAATCATTAAATTATTCTTTCCAAAATCCTTTACAAACTGCTATTATAAAACCCCAAATGTTCACTACACAAAAGGCACACGAGGAAGCCACAATCAAAACTCCCACGGCCGCCTACACACATTCAAAAGTGGATCAACCGGAATAAATATGCCATAACATATCAGCTGCTAAAAACTATTTATGATGGCATCAAAACTAATTGTTTATCATCAGATACAGACATACTAATAACATTAAACTATGCATTAACACATGCAGTAACCTTAAACAAAACCCTAATTCTAAACCTAGCCATAAAGTACACGTTGTTAATTAGCATTTCAATCATTCATTTTCTTTTTGGCTTGGTCCTTTAATTAATCAGGGATCGCCAAAGCAGAATTAGTCGCCAACTTATCAATCATATGTTATATGCAGCGACTGCATTCCTGATGTTAAGTGTCTATGAGTGAGAGTAACAGCGAAAAGTTTAAACTTGTATGGAGTGAGTGTCGATCAGTCCCTTTCCTTCAAGACACAAACAAAATTCAGTTAGAGAATTCATTAACAAAAAGTACAATGATAAAACAAAACTGGGAAGCGAAAATAGACTGGAGGGGGGGGGGGGGGGGGGGGTAAAACAGACAAAAGTACTCTCTAGCTAGTTAGAGAGTAAAACTGTCTAAACTGACAAGGTAAATTTAAATTAACAAGAGAAATGTACACCAACTCCCCACCTAGACATGAACAAGAAAAATGGGTTTTAGAAATAAAAATGGCACCCACCTCCCTACAGCTTCCAAACACAAAGAGAAGTTTCAATGGCAGATTGTACATGGTTTTAAATCCTTTACAACAGATTTTAACTTCAATAAGCTAACCACCGCAGCAACAAAACTCATTCAAAGTCAAGAAAGAAAGAAAGAAAGAAAGAAAGAAAGAAAGAAAGAAAGAAAGAAAGAAAGAAAGAAAGAAAGAAAGAAAGAAAGAAAGAAAGAAAGAAAGAGACCGCACTCTGGAAACAAGCTTCAAAATGGCTTGCAACTGATCAGCTTTTAAGCTTGCAGGGCAACGAGCAGCAGGTGTAATCAATCAACCTCCTCTCCTCTACACCTACAGTAGTTGACAAACAGGTAACAAAAATAGAGAAGGATGAAGAAAAGAAACCAAACACAACATACAACAATACATACAAAATAACATGGATGCCCTTCCAGCTGCAACCTATAACTGGGAAACACCCATACACACTCATTCAAACATATACACTACGGACAATTTAGCTTACCCAATTCACTTAAAGCGCATGTCTTTGGACTTGTGGGGAAAACCGAAGCACCAAGAGGAAACCCATGCCAACACAGAGAGAACATGCAAACTCCACACAGAAATGCCAACAAAGCCAGTCGAGGCTCGAACCAGTGACCTTCTTGCTGTGAGGCGACAACTCTACCCACTGTATTGGATTTGTAGCATTGTTCAAAGAAACAAGTTTTATATTTTGTGTATTTTAAAGATCCATTATTAATTAGAGTCTCCCATACAGTCATATCACATATCCTGTCACAACACTTGGTTGGTGACTAAACACAATGACAAAGGATCTTCAACAACTTGGCAACAGTACCTAAAGAGTGCTTTTTTAATGTCTTGTGCATAACTATCAATCATAGAACACATGCCAAGAGAGCAGTCAACCATCCATCATATTTGTTTTTCGGCTTAAGTCAAGTTTGATCATGCAAATTTTTGTGAGATCTCATGTCAAGATTTGATAATCGTCTAAGGTTACGCACTCTGCTTCTTAATATGCAGCAATATCAGTTAGTTGCCTCAACTGTGTTATTCAGCTTACTGCAATTAAAGGAAGTTACAGCTTGACCCCTGTTTTCAACTTGGATTAAATCAAACATATAAAGTACGCAAGGTTTCCTAAGTACTCATAATTAAGTCAGCACTTGGGCAGCTTTCCAATCTCTTTCTAAAGGATCTTACAAGTGACATTGTGTTCATGTCTTCACAGAGGCTATTTCCAAACAGCAGAGCAGAGGTTTCTGATTGAGCCGTTGTCTGAGGATAGCGATGGCGACCATGCCGTCTTCAAGTATGAAGATGTAAATGAAGCCACGCCAAGGGTGTGTGGAGTCACCAACACTACTTGGGATGAGAGTGGCGATGGAGTTCCTCCCCGAATCCTCAAAACACGCTCTCGTTCCTCAGTAAGAATGTGCATTCATTTACACTATTAGCATTACAAAAAGTACAATGAGGTTACAGCTCACAACGATTAATCTAATTTAAGCAGAGTCGTCATGTGATCAAGTCTCATTTGTTATTCTGAAATGTCGAAATGAGAATCGCAGTAAATTGCAGAAGTTAAACACAAGATTATCCTGTGTTAATCCAATTTAATGCAATAAAGTAGTTCACATTGTTCTCTAAATAGTAATTCTGTTTTCTCTATTTATTGTGCCTGTTTATTTTCCGCTTTATCAGGGGCCAACTTTATTCCAGAGACAAAAATACAATGAGTTCTTCCTTGTTGCAGACAACAGAGAGGTAAGAGAAGTCAATGTATTTTTATGGACTATGCAGAGATAAAAAATAAAACTTTATTTACTTTTAGATTTTATATACAGTTAAAGTCAAAATTATTAACCCCCCTTTGAATTTATTTTCTTTTTAAATATTTCCCAAATGATGTTTAACAGAGCAAGGATTTTCACAGTTTGTTTGATAATATTTTTTTCTTCTGAAGAAAGTCTTATTTATTTTATTTTAGCTAGTATAAAAGCAGTTTTTAATTTAAAAAAGAGAAATTTTAAGGTCAATATTATTAGCCCCTTTAAGCTATATATTTTTTCGATAGTCTACAGAACAAACCAATAACTGGCCTTATTAGCCTAACCTGCCTTGCTAACCTAATTAACCTAGTTAAGCCTTTAAATGTCACTATAAGCTACATAGAAGTATCTTGAAAAATATCTAGTCAAATATTATTTACTGTCATCATGAAAAAGATAAAATAAATCAGTTATTAGAAATGAGTTATTAAAACTATTATGTTTAGAAATGTGTTGAAAAAAATCTTTTCTTCGTTAGACAGAAACTGGGAAAAAAAATAAAAAGAGGAGGCTAATAATTCAGGAGGTCTAATAAACCTGACTTCAACTGTATATGAAGCTTTTTAACTTATTTTTGGCATCTTAGTCATTATCAGCTGCTATTTGACATTTAAAAAAAAAACATTTAACAAGTTAAAGGATTTTGTGCTTGTTCAGCATTGTAAATTCCACAGAATCAAACTGTTTCTAAATTGATCAATGTAAATCTGAAAACACTGATGCCAACAGATTTCAGACAGTGAGTCTTGAAGCCACTGTGACTAATGAGCAGAGTCATTAATTGAATCATCATTTAATTTGTGTTTCATCTCAGTACAAGAAACTGAACAGCGATTTGGAGAAGCTGAGAAAGAGGATATTTGAGATCATCAACTTTATCAATAATGTAAGTTGCTGATGACACAAATGGATTTCAAAATGTCTAGCATGGTAACATTCATGACACACAGTGGTTAGCCACAGAAACTAGCGAGGCTATAGAAACTAGCAAGGAAACTGGCAAGGACTGGTTACAGATCTTTTCCTTAAGCAGATCTTCCCACGAGTACAAGTTTAGTGCTTCTGAATTAAATCACACTGGATAATTATCATGTACTCCACAAGCTTAAGGTTCAGTTTCATCCAAACATATGAAATAGTTTCACTATAGTTTAACTTGCATTTGTCCACCATAAAGTGGAAACTTGTCTCTGTGTACTAAACTAAATAGTCAGACCCATAGCCAAGGTGGTTTGAAAAAATCTACCCCCACTGACAAAGGTCAAGAATCTGCCATTGGTCCACAATTTTTGGCACTATTTTCTCTTATGTCCTATTTTAACTGCTATGCCATCATAAATTGTGCAAATAACCCATCAAAGTTTTTAAGACCACGCAGAACATGATGTAAATTAAGTCAGCTTTCGCCAGTGACCTATTGTTAAATAGAAAAAACATTTTACAAGTAGCCTAACTTTTATTCTAAATCTAGGACCTTATTCATGAAAGAAAAAATTTACCAATGAAATGGTCCGAAGCACCAAATGCGGCCTATATTAAATTTTTTTTTTAAATACTAATAACTGTTGTTATTATTATCCATGTATTTTCAAATTTTTCTGACTGAGCTAAATGTGTTGGCCAGTTTGTTATTTGTCTAATAAATGACAACACGCTACATTATTTTTCCTAATGGTATATGATGTAATAAATTTGAATGTAAAAAACATTTTTTTTTTCATATTTCTTTATTTTAAATCTTTCAGTACGTCAAAAATTAACCATCCGACAAGCTAATCCAGATAAAAATATTGCTTAAAATGTCACTAAATGGAGTATGGTTAAACCTCATAATTAAATAGAAAATGATGCGAATAACTGCAAAAAAGAGAAAAAAAAATGAGAAAAAAAGAACCACTCCTTTCACCAGGCTGGCTACGGAGCTGATAGTAATTGTAACAGCCTTACTATTACAACAATTGCATGTGTTCCTACAACACAGGCTGTGAAAATGTACCCCCATATCAATTTCTGGTCAGTTCAAATTATGTAGCCAAAACTACTAATCTGAGATCTAAAAAAAAAAAAAAAATGCAAAAAAACGTACCTCCTGGGATATATTTCGTAATCTTTAGAAATGTATATAAGAATATGTATTAATGATGATCCTGGGTTGTGTTACTTCATTATAAATTGCTCTGAAAAAAAGTTTACTAATTACATAAATATAAATTCAAAAAGTAAATGTTGACTATTTTATTATATTTTTTATAATATATAACTTGTGTATTTAAGTGAAGTTTATGTATAAACAAATTTCGAGAGGATCACGTGCTTATGATTGCTAGCAGCTGACCCGCATTATCTAATTCACTACGATCCAATCAGATGACTCCTAAACTACTATAAATACCCTGGGGTTTATTCCATTGCTATCTTCGTTTTGAAGAGTCCCCCCTTCCTCCCCTACTCCTCCTTCTTAGACGGGTGACACGGTGGCCCAGTGCCTAGTACTGTCGCCTCACAGCAAGAATGTCTCTGGTTCCTGGCTTTACCAAAACTAGCAGACATTTCTGTGTGGAGTTTGCACTTCTCCCCGTGCTCACGTGGGTTTCCCCCGGGTTCCCCGGTTTCCTCCCACCGCCTAAAAACATGCAATTAAGTCAACTGAACAATCCAAATTGTCAACATAGACACGCTTCTAGTTAGTAATTAATTTCAAGAGCATTCACTTGCTACAGCAGGGGAGTTCTCGAGATCTACCTGAGCTTAAACTTCCCTCCCGCCTTGCAAAGGGAGGAAGCCCTGGGCTCGAGGATCTCATGAGCTCAGGGCTCTCTCCCGGGACAGCATGCCAAACAAGCTTTTATAATTAATCATCAGCTAAGTGTAAACTCTTGAAATAGGTTTTTAGACAGACATTTAGGCCCTGTTGTACATGATTTAAAACAACACACACAGTACAATTCTCTTTACATCAATATTTTTCGCCCATGCAGGTTTATAAAGAAATCAACACTTTTGTTGCTCTGACTGGATTTGAAGTGTGGACAGATAATGATAAGATAACAGTGTCTGCGGCTTCCGGAGCAACTTTGGACAGCTTTACCAAGTGGAGAAACAGTGACCTCATAAAACGGCAGCGGCACGACAATGCCCATCTCCTTACGTAAGCTCCATTGACTACATGGGGAAATGAAATACTCTTAATCTGATTAGCACCTGTTCAAAGCCATGCCATTGTATTCTAAATGCTTAAAGGGATAGTTCACCCAAAAATAAAAATGTCCTATGGATTTACTCATACGCAAGTGGTTCTAAAAAACGTAGGCATTTCTTTCTAAAGAATGTTGGAAAAAAGCATATACTGCGATGCAAAGTAAGAACAAAAAATAATTTGGAAGTCAGTGGCTGCTGCCTTCCAACATTCTCCAAATATCTTCCAACTGAATAAAAAAACACAAACAGGTTTGGAACAGGTGGAGGGTATGGAAACAATGACAGAACTTTCCTGTTTTCTGTAAACTTTCCCTTTAAGAAGCTGAACCAGAAAGAAGCTAGGCAATATATTCAAGTCATTAACTAACGCAATGTATTTTAGCTGCACTGGTTGAAAATTAAACTTTGATTTTTGTCCTTTTGCCAGAGCAATTGACCTTGATGGAGCAACTGTAGGTCTGGCTTACATTGGAACCCTGTGCGGAGGACTTTCAACTGGGATTGTTCAGGTACAAATAAAAAAAAAAAAAAACATTGTCACAAACGTATACGAAATTATAGCAAATAATGATTCATTATTGTCGCTATTTATTTATCAAGTTATTGTTTTCTAAATGTGATTTAACAGGGACTTATTAACTTTTTAAACTTCTGAAATGCTTTTGTCCTTGAAAATATACACAATGCTACAAAGCACAAAGTCCACTACAACATCAGAATTTAAATAATTTCTGCCTTAGGCATAACCAAAAAGATCACCAAGAGATACCGTTTCAGTATTTACCACACTGACACGTGCATCACTTCCTCAACTGTGTTTTAGACAAAGCCTTGTGTGTCTTTGATAATAAAAGAGGACAGCAACACAGTGGTAAAAGCCGACTTTCTGTGTCCGTACTTCATTTCTGTGCTCTAAGAACACTGTATATCATACAGTACTGTTTAATCTTGTAAGGCTATAAAACACTTGCAAAAAATTAATGTTTAATGTTGATAAGGGCACAACCACAAAATAAAGTTTCCAACCACAAAACAAATTTTGTATTTGTTCATAACTTTGTTCCATTTTTAATGAATTTGATTAATCAATCAATAACATTTTTTTTTTTTTAAGTTACATGTATTCGTTAACATTAAAGTGAGGTTATGATAATATGATAATAGTATAATCTACAAAAAAAAATCCAAATATGGTGTGTCTGAATTTAGCTGGATCCAATTCACGTTCATTAGCTGTTGTGTCCCTCCAGAAGTTTAGTAATGTGTATTTATTGTATATAGCGCATTTATTGTGTATGGCCACACTACCACCAGTGTGCAGCATCCACTTGGATGATGCGACGGCAGCCACAGGACAACGGCGCCAGTGCGCTCACCACACACCAGCTATAGGTGGAGTGGAGAGACAGTGATCGAGCCAATTCGGTGGAAGGGGATGATTGGGAGGCCATGATCGTAAGGGCCGATAGAGGGACTTTGGCCAGGACACCGGGGTTACACCCCTGCTCTTTCACGAGAAGTGCCATGGGAATTTTAATGACTGCAGAGAGTCAGGACCTCGGTTTAACGTCTCATCCGAAAGACGGCGCCCACTGACAGTATAGTGTCCCCTTTACTTTTACTGGGGCATTAGGACTCACACAGACCACAGGTTGAGCGCCCCCTGCTGGCCTCACTAACACCACTTCCAACAGCAACCTAGTGTTCCCTAGTGGTCTCCCATCCAGGTACTAACCAGGCTCAGCCCTGCTTAGCTTCAGTGAGTAACCGGTCTTGGGCTGCAGGGTGATATGGCTGTGGCTGTTTAGCCATTCTGCCAGCATATGGTGCAATATGTAGGAAATATGTAGGAAAATTTGTGGCTTTTCGTAATTGGTGCAGATATCCTTTAGCCAGCAAGGACACTATTCAAATTCTTTCTGCCAAGCTTTGTGGTTTTAAATTAAAAAACATTATATTTGCATATAGAATGTGTTCATATTGTGTGCGATACCTCGAGTTGGCATAGACATGGCACAGCAGTGTGTCTGACATTATCGCAATGCACATTCAGCCAAAGCCTATTTGAACGAGGCTACATTTATTGTATTGATTGCTAAAATATTGATTCTTACATGTTTTTTTTTTCTAATGCTCTTGTTGTAGAGATTTGAAGAGTTATTTGTTTTCATTATTTAGAGTCATTCAACAATTTAAGAGGTTAAGAGATAAACATTTTCTCTCTTTGTTTCTCTAAGTGTTTCTTTTTCATTTTGACCAATGGTTCCTAAGGTCAAAAAAGTAACCAAGTTATGTAAATTTGTGTATACAGTGAGTACAAAAAGTATTCAGATCCCCGTCATTTTTTCACTCTTTGTTAAGTTGCAGCCATTTGCTAAAATATTTTTTACTCATCATGTACACATAGCACCCCATATAGCCAGAAAAACAGAATTGTTGATATTTTTGCAAATTTATTAAAAAAAGAAAAACTGAAATATCAATTGGTCATCATAATTTGGTTTAAATCAGGGCTCTGGTTGGGCCATTCATTACAGTCACAGAGTTGTGGTGAAACCCCTCCTTTGTTATTTTAGCTGTGTGCTTAGGGTCATTGTCTTGTTAGAAGGTAAACCTTCGGCCCAGCATGAGGTTTTCAAAATGTCAACAACTCTGTGTTTTTCTGTCAATATGGGGTGCTATGTGTACATTAATGAGGGAAAAAACTAACTTTAATGATTTTGGCAAATGGCTGCAATATAACATTCATTCATTCATTTTCTTGTTGGCTTAGTACCTTTATTAATCCGGGGTCGCCACAGCGGAATGAACCGCCAACTTATCCAGCAAGTTTTTACGCAGCGGATACCCTTCCAGCCGCAACCCATCTCTGGGAAACATTCACACACACATTCACACACACACTCATACACTATGGAAAATTTAGCTTACCCAATTCACCTGTACCGCATGTTGTTGGACTGTGGGGGAAACCGGAGAAACCGGAGGAAACCCACAGGAATGCAGGGAGAACATGCAAACTCCACACAGAAACTCCAACTGAGCCATGGCTCGAACCAGTGACCCCGCGACCTTCTTGCTGTGAGGCTACAGCACTACCTAACGCGCAATATAACAAAGAGTGAAAAATAAGAGGGGGTCTGAATACTTTCCGTACCTGCTGTATTTTCACGGCAAAACAAAACAAAAAATGCTGCATATTTTGACAAATTTTGAGATAATTTGTCACCGAATTAGTAAATTTTGGCCATAATCATCAGAAAAATTGATAAATGTGAGGTACAGTTTTAAATGACTAACACATATCCTTTATATCCATGATTTAAACAATTATATTCACGAAATTTCATATAAAACATAATTTAATACTTCAAGATAGATTAATGAAACATCTACAGTATGCTGAAGCTTGCTTGAACCTACAGTTGGATGCTAACCGAACTTCCCTTTTCAAAGGATCACAACTCTATGGCCACAGCAGTGGGGGCAACTATAGCACACGAGATGGGGCACAATCTTGGCATGAACCATGACAGCAGCTCCTGTGTTTGTTCTGACAGCTCTTGCATCATGACAGCTGCTCTCAGGTACTGACTGTATACACTGACTCTATTAACATATACTGTACCTACGTATGCTTAATATTGTTGTACTCCAGATGTACAGAATAATAATTTAAAATGAGTCAAAACCAATAGGGGAATCTTGGGTAGTAACCTTTAAAAACGGTGTGGATCTTTTACACGTTTTTTTTTTATAAATAGTTCACCCAAAAAGAACTCAAATTTAGTCACTATTTACTTACTCTTAAGTGTTTATAAACCTTAATGAGTTTCTTTCTTCTGTTTAACACAAAAGAAGATATTTCAATGAAAGCTGAAAAACTATACCATTGACTTTTATAGAAGAAAACACAAATATGGACTTCAATGGTTGTAGGTTTTCAGCTTTCTTCAAAATATTTTGTTTGTGTTCAACAGAAGAAAGTTAGAACAAGTGAAGAGAGAGTAAATAACGGCACAATTTTGATTTTTGAGTGACCTGTGCCTTTAATATCAGTAAATCATATCTCTTCAATGTAGCACTTTGATCTCTGCAATTACAAAATCTTTAAGCCAGTACTGCAGATGACCAAAAATGGGTCTAAAATATTACTTCATGTCTCTGCAGCTATTTCATCCCTCAACACTTTAGCAGCTGTAGTACTGGTGCCTTTGTAGACTATCTGAACAACAAAATCCCAGAATGCCTTCTAAACAAACCCCAACCAAGAGATCTGCTTCAGCCGGCTGTATGTGGGAATGGATTTGTGGAGATTGGAGAAGAATGCGACTGTGGAACAGTGCAGGTAAGTAGTCTAGGGTTTTCCTAAATTCAATTCAATGAACTGTAATTGAAATTCCTATAGTAATAAAAAGATTAGAGCAATCAGCAAAGAAATATGACTTAGTGTATTCCCTACATTGGAACGTAAGTACGCCAGACATACCCAACAAGCAGAAGTCAAAAGCTTGCAGGAAGAAAGATTCTGTTAAGACATGCACAGCCTGTTCTCCACAGGATTGTTTTCAGCATTCACATGACAACATGTTACTGAAGTACAGAAGTGCTAATTGGGGGTTGTGATGCTTGTAAGGACAGCTAATATTTCATAGTACATACAGTAGAAGTTAGAATTTTTAGGCTCCCTGTATATTTTTCCACAATTTCTGTTTAATGCAAAGAACTTAGAACATATTTCAAAACATAATAGTTTTAATAACTCATTTCTAATGACTGACTTCTTTTATCTTTGCCATTATGACATGCCAAGTTACTCTTATTCAGCTTATGCAATTTAAAGGCTTAACTAGGTCAATTAGGCAAGTAAATATGTAAATCATTGTATAACTATGGTTTGTTCTAGAGACATTCGAAAAAATATGCTTACTAATTTTGACCTTAACAGTTTTAAAACTAAGAAAAATATATTTTTTTAAAAACTAAAATTGCTTTTATTCTAGCCGAAATGAAACAAATAAGACTTTCTCCAGAAGAAAAACACTATAGAAAATACTGTGAAATATTCCTTGCCTCGTTAAACATCATTTGGGGAATATATATATATATATATATATATATATATATATATATATATATATATATATATATATATATATATATATATATATATATATATATATAAATTCTGACTTCAACTGTATCTTTAATCTTTATGTGCTCTCTGTGTTTAGTATGCATGTACTGTAATATGATTGGAGATTTGTTTAAATGTACATTAGTCTTTTTTTTCCTGACATTTGAATAGCATTTACGTTATTTAACCATTGTCTGCTTTGACAAGTAAATTAATTTTCAACACATTTTTTCTCAGAACAAGTGCTTGAAAAGACATTTATTATGCGCACACAACTTGAACACACCCACTATGCTAAGAAGATGTCTAAAGAAATTCTCAGTGTTGTTATTTCAAAACCAAGATTAACTCTATATGTTTTTGTATAGGAGTGTAAAAAC